GACATTTGAGAGCGCAACGTCGGTCAGGTTTTTCTCGACAGCTGTTTTCCATGCTATCGAAATTCTGCTGTATCGATCGCCGCGAGGTTGCAAAATTTCCCCGAGGTCCTGCTATTTTTGTCTTCTTTTTTTTCGACTGCACGTCCCTTTCTCTGTCTCTCCCATTCTTTTTTTCGATCGCGCTTTGTGCTGCGAAAATTTGATATCGCACAACGATGGACGGTGCGCATACGCCCCGCCTTTGGCAGTTACTCCGCTCGCATATCGAAATCGTCATTGTTTTAATTGAAACACGCCTCGTGCGCCATTAAACGCACGCGAAAGAGGACCCCCCTTCCCCACCTTGCGTTTGACAGATAGTCGTAATTTTTCACATATCTCTTATTTAACGTAAAAATAAGCTAACGAACATGTAAATACGTGTAAAAGCTTCGTTTTATATCGCGTGAGTGTGTATAAACGGATCTCTAAATGTGCAGAGAAAAAATATCTGAAAAATAAAAGATGGCGATTCGGTGGGTACCACACGGAGAAAACGTTTGGTTGAACTAACCACATTTCTGTAGTGAAATATGAACGAAGTAAAAAATTCCGATTGAAGTTCTGCTCAAGTTAACCAGAAATTTTGTTGACTTGAACAGAGTTCTGATAGTTACAATGAGAATTTGTTCACCATTTCACCAGGAATTTGATTAATCCAACCAAATCCTCTCTTCTCTATGTAATAACGTATTTACTTAAATTCCTTTATTTAAATAGAATAAACAATTATGCTTTCATGAAAAGCTAGAATAATTTTATTTAAAAATCATGGGCAAATAAGAGCCAACGCAGATAGTGATGCTAAATAAAATGAGACGTGTCAAATAAACATATAATGATGTCATACGCTTATTATTTATGTTTGACACATTATTGTCTCACTTTATATATCGAGCTCTGGGGATCTCACTTTACGAATTGGAAGCAATGCGTATTTCGTCCAATCCGCTGGTAAGCTCGAAACACGCTCTGTATCGACTAGACGAAGTACGACGTTCCGATCGTCAAGTCGAAGATTCAAAGGCACGAGAATTAGCGAGATCGCGGCAAAAAAATGCGGTAAAAATGTAATCCTTGGAAGAATTAATGTAAAGCAGTCGGGGAGAGCGTTCCCGTCTAACATAGCACGGGTAGTATCTCCCACATTTTTGCGTTACATGTGCACGAGACGAGAAGGTACTCTTCGCAGTCTCCTCTGCTCGTACAACCATCCCGAACAAGGTCTTTAATTAACTCCGTTCTCTCCGGGTCAATTGCCCTCCGCGAAGAGGAAAGAAACGGCGCGTGCTTCCGCGGCCGCGCACGACTCTTTCGGCTCCGGCACGATCTTACAAAATTATTTAACGAATCGCTCTTTCTCGCTTCTATTCCTCCTCCTCCCCTCGCTCCTTGAGACGTTGGATAACATCGATATCCCCGAATTATTTTGTAAAAAAAATAAAGAAAAAAAAAACATTGAAATGACGCGAATTGCTCATCGATATTTGATTATAATCCACCCATTGTGGTGAAACTGTATCATTTCCGCACCGAAAATCCACCGTCATTGATTGTGTCGTTTGCGTTATAGCCGCGTAAAAGCTTTCGGTCGGTCCACGCGGAAATGGAGAACGGTTAAAGCGTTTTAAATACCGCTTTAAATGCGATTTATGTAAACCACCGCGCATTTGATTAGTTGCTGAACGCAATTTAGGGGAGATTCCGGCGACGAGTGGCGAAACACCGACGGATCGCGTGACTTTTCCGTCAACCCTATATATAGCTCGTCCCGCGTCGAAAGAATTATAGGCGCTTTAATAGCGACAACCACAAAGAGACCACCGTCCGTTTTTCTTATCTGCCGGGAGGGCGACGGCACTCATAACGAGTGCCATCATGGCGGTCGATGCGTTTAATTAACGCGAGACTCGCGCGCAAAATGGTTTGGACTTCGCGGTTCGTCCGTTCTCAGTCCATTCTTTCTGAGCTGTTCAAACCTGACATCGATATTTTGCGATACACAGATGGGCAGACGGTATAATAATATTTTAAGAGATACGTCAGGATTTGCGCGCAAAATCCGACATGACCTAAAACGCGAACCTGCGCACTCTTCTTTCTTATTCATTCGCGAAAAATACACGGTCGAGAATTCTCGCTTGTACACTCGCGATTCCATAGCGGCCAATGTTCGAGATCCTCTGGGTGTAAATGGACACCAAAGTATAAGATAGATCGTTCCGCTATCATATTTAGGTCTGGACTAAATAATTCAAAAATCATTACGTCTCATCGTCCTCACCATTCCGTCGTGTATCGCGTGCGACACAGCGAATGTTCCGATAACGGAACGTTTAAGCACCGCTTTTTTTAGGCATTAGATACGTTTTTAGTCTCGCGTTTATATGCGCGATAAACTTCGTCTTAATTCCCCCTACTGAGAAGAAAGAAATGGTTGATCTAACTGAAATTAATTATTCTTGGCCCTAACCATATTTTTTGTTTGTTTTAATGCAAAAATGATATTAGTAATGCACATCGGGTTATCATCGCTAATATTATAGTAGAATTTACTAGAAAAATAGTTTTCGTGACCACATATATATAATAATAATTATTTCTCTTATATGGTTATAAATAAAGTAAAAGTACTAATGCCTGGACATATACCTAATCCTGGATATATTCTTGTTGTTTTGGTTTTAAAATATAAATATTTAAACTTTTAACGTGAAATATATACAGGGTTGGCAAAAAGTCCGGAAACGGTCAAATATCTCGAAAAAGGATCAACTGTAGCGAAAAATATGTAAGTAGCAAAGTAGTAGGGCTTAATAAAATGTACCTAATGATGGCTAAAAATTTGACTTTGGGTGGACGAAGGTCATACGAAGGTTAAATTGAATTTTTTAAATTGGACGCCCCACTTTTTATTACATATTCTTGTAGCTTATTTCAAGGGCTTTCCAAAAACCTATAATAAAGTATTTTTTTATTAAATATATTTAGAGTTATGAGGCTTAAAAGGATTTTGATCTTTAACTGTTTCTGTTTTGTCAATCATAGCCATTGTCATCTAAGCCGGTCATATCGTCTAGACACACGAGTCTAGTCACATCTCGAGACACGAAAAACAAAGTTATTCTTGTTTTTCTCCTGTGTTTATGTTTTTTAGGTTCCCAGCCTAGTTGTTCATTCGCTCGCATCAAACGCGGTTATTCATTCACGACGTAATATCACACGTACTCAGTCAAAACTCGTGCATACCCGCGCTTCACGATAACGCTTCTCGATCTTTGTATTTTAAAAACAAGTCGTGCTCTCTCGCATCTTACTCTTTGTTTTTTCCCTTTCTTTTTCCAACTACAATTTCAAATTTCTTTTTTAAAAATGTTAACCGATAAAGGAAAGATAATGCTGTTTCTTTATCGAAAATTGGGAGACCATATTAGATCATACGAAGAAGTAACTGATCTACACATTCAATGCTGCATATCCTGATCGCTGTTTTATTTCTAAATCCACCGTTCAGAAGACAGTGATACGTTTTTACGAAACAGAAACAATTAAAGACCAAAATCCTTTCAAGCCTCATAATTCTAAATATGTCTAATAAAAAAATACTTTATTAGAGGTTTTTGGAAAGCCCTTGAAATAAGCTACAAGAATATGTAATAAAAAGTGGGGGGGTCCAATTTAAAAAATTCAATTTGATCTTCGTATGATCTTCGTCCTCCACCCAAAGTTAAATTTTTAGCCATCATTAGGTACATTTTATTAAACCCTACTACTTTGCTACTTACATATTTTTCGCTACAGTTGATGCTTTTCGAGATATTTGACCGTTTCCGGACTTTTTGCCAACCCTGTATAAATATTAAATATATTTTATGTTTAAAATTTAAATATTCGTAATAGGACCAAAATAAAAATGTCCACGGGTACGTTTAATACTTTTTCTACTGCATAATAAAATATTTAACATACCTTGAAATATACGATGAGTCGCTACTGATATCCTATCATCCAACATCCGCTTCCAAATTCAGCATCCTGGCTCTTGAACGTCGCACAGTGAAATTAAATGAAATTCCATGTTTCAGAAAAGTTACAACTTCAAGATTTGGACAGATTTCAATGCTTCATTTTTAAATGAAAACTAATGAAATTTAGAACAACTTTGTCGAATCAAAATTTTGTCTTTTGCTTCTCTTTTTTTGAATCACACATAAAGAAGTTAGATTTAGAAACTATTTTCAATCAGTTAACTCATTTCATGTATCATCTAATTTAACACGAGGCACAGACATTGATACTGAAATTAAATATTGAAAACTTGACTATAGACTTAAAAAAAATCGTCAAACTGCGACATGTCTCACTAAACCTTATTTTAACAAACAAAATTGATTGAAACAGTACTTAAAATTTTAGTAAATAAAAACTACTGAATTAAGTAAGACTATAAATCATCACTGTTCCATTGAGTTTCCGCATATATCGAAATTTGTCCAAATATCGAAGTTGTAGCGTTTTTGAAACATGAAATTTTATTTGACCCATTGTATGTCGTCCTCAATCTTGTGGCATTTACACTGACACTCACACTGGCACTGACACTCGCATAAGTACAGATCAATCGAAAACGTGCACGAGGTTGAAAACGTGATGCCGACAAGACGCGAGCCGATTAAACGTGTCAAACGTCAACGAAATGTTCTAATCACCCGACGATAAGTGAATGCGCGCGTACGGCGCGGTGTACGTATTGCTTGCCGGCTCGGGACGTAATGGGAATGTTCGCGAAAGTGCGGGGCGCGCGCGAGGACCAGTTTGACCGCCTTGAAGGTCTGCAATGTTTGGATTGTGTTGTTATCTTCAGCCGCGGGCTATGACGCTTCGCAGATAACGTGGCTCTTCTTGCCTGTTGTTTTTTTGATACTGTCGTACGCGTCGCGTATTTTCCCACGCGCAACCGTCATATTATATTCAAACAAAATACCTTGCCGACTATTGAAACGTTTAATCGGGCTCTCATCGACAGCGCGTTAATTAACATGTGTTTTTCCGGTCGGATCATACAAATCTGTATACGAGTATCAGTATCGCGAGTTAGTATCCCGTAGTGCTATGGCGGTGCAAGCAGGATGCTGTATCAGGAAACCAGGACGCAGGACATCGCGCACCGCGGCAACAACACATCATATATTTTCACAGACGCATAAATATACATTCACAATATATGTGCATTATTTTCCCCACAACGCTAATAAAAAATGAATAATAAAGAGATCGTAAAACAAAATTTGTCGGACCTATTCATTAATTGCATCTGTCTCATTAATTTTTATTGGATTATTTAACGGGCGCTGGTCGCGCACATATTCTATCTGCAATTACGTAATAATTAATAATTTATTTATTAAAATAATTTATTTATTAAAATTAAGAATAAAAATTAAATGTAGAAGATTGAAATAATCAAATGTTAAATATAAATTCTAAAGTTTTTTCTAAGAATAATTCAATATGAAGAAAATGTCATTGAAAAAACATTTGTTGCATCAAGATAACCTATACAGGATGTCCGATAACTGATTGAGCAACCGCCGTGTATAGATAGAACAGGTCAAAATAATCATAAAAGTTATATACCATTTTAAAATTTTTTCAATATTTATTCCGTAATTAATTAAAATGTATAAAAACGAATGAGCTCACGAGAAGTGGTAAGACAGGCTCTGTGTGTAAAAGAAATGGCTTACCTCTTAGCAACGATGAGTAAACAGCTAATTTCGAGGCGAAGTAACAAGCGATACGTATACTCCATATTACTCCACCTCGAAATCAGCTGTTTATTTATCGTTACTAAAAGGTAAGCCATTTCTTTTACACACGAAGCCTGTCCTACCGCCTGTCTCGTGAGCTCATTTGTTTATACATTTTAATTAATTACGGAATAAATATTGAGAAAATTTAAAAATGATATATAACTTTTATAATATTATTTTGGCCTGTTCTACTCGTACACGGCGGTTGCTCGATAAGTTACCGAACATCCTGTATAATTTTGAGAGTGCATATCGATATTCTTCATTGATTTCTCAATTTAACATAATTTGCAAGAATTTAATGTTTAAGGCTCCTGACCTCTCACATTGTCTATTTCTTTTTAATGATGCCAGAAACGAGAAAATGCATGCTAAAAATTCATGTGACATACGTTAAAATAGAAATATATATCCATAAAATAATACTTGTAATCAATAAACAAATTTGTAAGATATTCAATGCACTCCTCTTTTGCTTTAACAATCAATAATTTGTTGTAAATTAACGTGACATACAATTCATTTTCTGAACCTATTTCTTCGCCTATTTCTATTCAGGTTAATTTAATTAAGATAAATTATTGATTATTAAAGCAAAAGAGAAATGTACAGATTATTTAATACATCACAGATTTATTTAATCGATTGCAAGTGTTACTTTATAGATATATCTTTTTATTTCAACGTATTTCGCAAGAATTTTTAGCATGCATTTTCTCGCTTCTGGCGTCATTAAAAAGAGATAGACAATGCGAGGGACCGAGAGCCTTAATATGGATCAAAACTTTGACCAGAAATTTCTAAAATTTCGACTCGCGGATTTGTCGCATAAAAACTTCGCGTACAGGTTTACATTCTCCTTCGATTTTTCTACGTGTATGCAAAACGTGTATATATTACGTATATATACATATATATATATCGCTTTTTTATTTCAGAGATTATAAAGTTTGATCCGTGTCTCCCGAACGCGGTCGTTCCTCGAGAATTACGTCGACGTTTTTCGCTGACGCACGAGTTTCTTCCCGTGAATGAAAAATTGCTCGTCGTAAGTTTAATTGGCGGGAACGAACTGTGAACTATGCACAGGGGCATCGTTGTACGACGTCGAAGCATTGCCGAGGTGTGAGTGAGGATGAGACATGATTACCTCCTCAATTACCGCTCAATGCTGTCCTCTCCACATAATTCATAACGTTACATACACCATGGGTGAAATTCACTCGTACCCTCGCGGCTACCGCAGAGTCGAAATTCCGCCGATGTCGAACTCGGGGATTTATGCGATTCCGCGAAGGGAAATCGGTGGCGGACAACGCTCGCGTCGCGTAAATTATTTCTGCTACGTGTTTCGTGAGAGTTTTCCCCCTCCCTCGCGTGAAAAAAAAAGTATATAATTGCGCCCGCGCGTACACAGAAACCCCATTATCTTCTCTCTTCAATTATTCATCTCAAGGTAATTAAAGTCTCCCCTTTAAATTCTAACATATTCTCATTCATTATGGAGAATATTTAAATTAAATACTTGGAGTGAATCCTCAGAAATCCGAAAATTATAAACGTCTCAACTAAACTGGATATTAAAGACCTAGAAATTCAGAATCGTCATGACTTAAAAATTCCAGGGAATTAGGAAATGAAATAATTCGCGCCAAAAATATCGAAAATCAAATATTCACGATTTTAATAATAGAACTCTAAATGGTCACTTACCTCTTTCATTTTTAATTGATTAATATCTTATTTTCCATATAAGACAGAATTTTGAAATTTTCCGACTTTTCATCAATTATATCTCTTTTATGGAGCATTCAGTTCAATTATGCCTTTTACAAGAGAAACACAAATTTAAAAGTAAAAAGCGGACAAAAACGATCGCTCGATGTTTGTTACGTCAAGAAAGCCAAAGTGATTTCCGTAAAAAGACGGTCCGCGTCGCCAAAAATCACATTATACGAGTAATAGATTCCGCGACGTCAAGTTGCGCAGCTAAGCGATACACCAGCAACCAGCGGTTTACAAGCGACTGTAATCGTGAATTATGTGTGCGTCTACCCTCCGTCTATTCGCACATCGTGTTATACGAGACTTTCGCGACTTTGCGGTTCCCCGCGACGGCTTCGTCCCACGGCATTCGTCGTAGGGGGATTACTTAAGTGTCATAATTAGCCGAACGTACAAAGTACGCTATTAAGCAACGTGGCGCGAGAAGTACGGTCTGGAAAAGCGTCGCGTCTACCGTAAAATCTTGCTACCAGCGCTGAGGAAAGCGCGACTTTCGCGAACCGTCGCGTCCTTAATGGCGCACCGTCGTCGCCGGTTTTCATTTGAGGGCCCGCAGTCGAGCTGCCACGAATTCCAAATCGCTCGCTATCTCGTTCGCGATCTTGTGCACGATAGCGCGCTTCGTTCGAGATAACAAAAACACGACGGTATAATAAAGACGATTATTAAAGCGTAAACAATGGACTATTACGAACGATATATTACCCATCTCCGGCAACAAATGCCGGCTACCGCTTAATTGACAAGTTGTTTTCGCGGATATTATTTCTGCGCGTGTTATTTCAAACGTGATACATACGGATCGATGTTCGCGGCCGCGCCACTTGTTTTTACGCGCGTCGGTGCCGCGTCGATTACGCGCACAGGAATTATTCCGGAAAAATATGCAAATCGCCGCCAATTACCGTCCACGCCCTCAAAATGAAGTCCTGGGGGAATTAGCGTTCAGAGAGGAATAATTAAAATTCAACGCCGCGCGTAAGATCAGTTGTTCACGTGCAGCTGCCGTTTAAAAGACGGCTTTCCCGTAGGCGGTGGGTAATTGTAGCGCCGGGATCGCGACGACGATCGTCAGCGCGAAATCGCCGACGCGAAATTACGCATTGGAGAAAAAAAGAGAGAGAAAGAACCTGCGATGCGTGACGAGGCGTAGGCAGGGCACACGAATTGACGTAACCGTAAACAAAAAACGTAAACATAAACTGAAGAACCAATCGGGACAATTGGCTTTAGGATTGTTCTAGCCGAAATCAAGATCGAAGCGATCGTATAAGCAGGATTAGCGTAGTGTAATTGAGTAACTACACTGAGAAAAAAATATTTAGAAATTAACGAATATTTCTTAGGTAGGTGTTCGGATATTGAAAGTTTAAAATGACAAAGCTCCAAAGTGTGCAAGTCTTGTCCCGCACAGGCGGATATTTACATTGTAAAAAATCTTGCGTACACAGTATGTAAACAAATGTTCCAAAAAGTCCACTCTAAATTTTGTGTCGAAAATAACTCATTCATATATTTATTCGTATTATTTTATTATGTACTAGTCTATACATAAAGTAAATAACATACGAATGAATATATGAGTGAGTTATTTTTCACACAAAATTTAATGTGGACTTTTTGGAACATTTTTTTACGTACTGTACAGGCAAGATTTTTTTACAGTGTGTACGTTTCGTCTTTGACTTTTCGCCAGCATCTTTCCCGATAACGTTCTCATATTACGCTTCGCGATCGCGAATTTCTTCGTCTACCGCTTTCTCAAACGTCTCGCCAGGCGGAACGACGTTCCATATAATGAGAAGAATCCTTTCGGTACCTTAATTAAAAAAAAAAACAAAAGAAAGAACGAGGAGAATGGCGGGCAGAAGGGAGATCTCTGATACCCTCAGGGTCAAATCTCCCTTCGAGCTGCGTTCCATTTCTTCACCGCGATTCCTCCTTTTGCTACTTTTGTGCATCGTACACTCGTAATTTATATACCGTGCTCGTCTCGGTGCCGGTAACGAGCGAACCGTGCTTGAAAACTAAAACAAATATTTTTCCGGAGGAAAGCCCGCGACTCGCGTTCACCAGCACACACGCGTTGGCGCGCCTTCCAGGCAAAAGAGGGAATCGAATGATCGAACACGATGACTCCGGCGCATCCCGCGAGAAGGTGAACGAACACTGCAAGGCTCCTCGTTGCAGAGCGTATGCTCTCTCTCTCTCTCTCTATGCTCATCTTCCCTTCTCCCTCTCTCTCTCTCTCTTTACCTCGACGGCTCGTTCTTTCTTTTTCTTAAACTCCGACCGGATATTTTTAACAAGCGGTTCGTGCCGAGACGAAACAATGCGCATCCCCATACTGCGTGCGCAGCGCCTATATGTGCGTTCGCTTGCTCGCTCGCGATAACGCGAACCGTCGCGGGGAATGCGCTTTCCCACGGGACGGCGTCTCGTCGCAGGGAGAAAACGAGTTTTTCCCCGAGAAAGTACCGTAGAATACTCTTACCGCGGCATTAGAATCTCGCTGTGACAATTCGTATTTCCCCTGGCTCGTTCCCTCGACTCATTCCGCGCGCTCGCCGAAAAGGCCCGCAACCACGAAATCTTTTTCGTTTCTTGCCCCCTCGAGTCACGGCGTATTCCTCTTTCTCTCTCTTTTTTTTTTCCGTAGGATCCCGCGTAGAAACGGCGAACGGCGTCGTTTTCACGACGCCTACGCGCCTATCTATCCGAGGATCCGCGAACGCGAGATGAAACCGACGCGACGACGACGAAGATGGTGCGACGAAAATCGCATCGCCCGGAGACCCGACATAAAGGCATCCCAGAGCCGATCCATCGCTTCGTTGCGTCAGAATTCCGACGCATCCGGGATGTGGATGCAGTCGCGAGAGGTCGGAGGACGAAGATACGGAAGGGCTAAAGAAAAAAGGAAAGAGAAACAAATCGAAAGAGAAAGAGCGAGAGATAAGGTTAAAGCGATAGAGCGACAGA